GGCCTTCGAACGAAGGGTGGCGTACTCTGGTGTTAAATTCTGAACTACCAAACTGCCGTGATTTTTTGCGCCAATATTGTACCATTGAAAGATACGGGAGCGGTGTCACCTTATCTTCTCTACATCGTGACTATAGTACTATATATCTATGATAGTATCAGGGTTTGTTGTTGGTTTATAACGCGTTATAAGTACCTATAGTTGGGTGAATGAAAAGTGAAAAGTTTTTTTATCAAAAACAGCGGTTCTAAATCTCGTATCTAACATCATTCTAATACATTTGTATAAGGTAATTGTATCTATATCTAATACTTTTCAAAATATGCCACCAATTGCCACCACCGGGAGCGTGCCGCGTGCGTATCAGCGGCCACTTTTCATTCACCCAACTATAATGGATATTGTGATATGATTAATTTGGAATTCATTATAGGTCAATTTTTTTTAATACCATAGATATGTACATAATATGTCTTATACCTAGACTGACATACCGTTTCCGCTCAGAATCGTTTTTCTTATACAATGATATTATATCATTGAATTCAAATTTAATACTATCCATTATACAGTGACCCACTTGTAACCTACTGTACAGCAGAGCCACACCCACTTGCCCACCTTTTTTTAATTTTTTTTATATTTTAATTTATTATTTAATATTGTGTCTGTCATAATGTTTTAGTACAGTAAAAATGCTTAGATTTTCTTCAACAGTATCTTTTCTGATAGGAAAGTGAATCTAGTTGGCACTTTGGGGGGTCAAAAGTAAACATTTCTTAGTAGTTTTCAAAAGCGCCGCGAAAAACAAAAGAAAAATTAAGGAAAAACGGGAATTCTTAAACAAATGACCTTAGGTACATGAAATTTTGACTGAATGTTTACATTAACATTTTCTATACACCATAACATTTTCCAAATATTTTGACTTATTTTGAGCTCTTTACGGACATTTTCAGTTTCTATTTTTCTTTAGTTCTTTTTTCTATAAATGTCAACGAAATTTTATTTGTTGGGTACAAAAGCTTGAAAATTTAATAGAAGGCTCCTAGTTTATTGTCTGAAAGGCACATGAAAAAAATTAAAAATCCATAGTCACAATTTTTTTTTTAATACCATAGATAAGTATATAATATTGGTTATACCTAGACTGACATTATACCGTCTCTGCTCAGAATCGGTTTTCTTATACAATGATATTATATCATTGAATTCAAATTTAATATCATCCATTAAACAATGACCCACTTGTAACCTACTATACAGCAGAGCACCTTTTTTATATATCATTCAAAATATACGACAAATAAATGTTAGTATACACTATACAAGGTGTAACAGAAAGACTTGTAAAAAAAAAAAATAAAAAAAATATTAATATTTTAAAAATTCTAAAAAATAAACTAATTTACTTAGATAAATGTTTTTACTATAAAAATTGTTCTTATAATCAGATTCACAAATTGGCTATTTTGAATATATCTAAACAAATTTAAATCAAATTTAAAATTTTTTATTTTCAATGTTAAAAAACAAAAATAATTTTTTGCATAATATAATATGTCTAGCGCAAGTGATTATAAATTGTATGTAAAAAAAACATTATAAATATTGATTTGAACAAAAGTTATTTCAAAAGTCAGTTGTATACTTCTATTTGTTACACTCTGTATGGGATATTATACTATACCTATCTGAGCGCACGGTAGTGCGCCTGGCCAAGTTCCAGCAATGCCAATGTATCTTTACACAAACCAATTCCCCAGTGTTTCTAACACATATATCTCTGTTTCCTCATAAGATAAGCTTTTAAAATTTAAAACATAGATTAATCTCGAGTAGCTTAGGACGCTATAAGAAAATGAGCCCTTAATATTGTGCCATTTCAAAATGGGAGGATTTCAAAATTTGCAATATTGTTACTGACTCACTCACTGATTATCAAAATTATAAGACACTTCCCGTATAGGTAGTAACGTGCAATTTGGCATAAAGTTAGGTTTTACAGTGTAACTAAAGGGAAAAATCTAAAAATTGAATTTTTTATCTCCACATTTTTTAAATTACACTAGTCACTAGCTGCTGATTCGGCAATGAGTTGCTATTGCTATATTTTTGTGATTATGCGAGCAGTATATTCTTAGGTAGACAATTTGCCAATCTACTTGCTGTAAATCGAGGACCCCACGTGGTGCTTATGGAAGTGTAGGTATAATTTAACCCTTAAAGTATCAAAAAATTCAAAACCTTGGTGCACCGAAACCGTGGTTCAAAGTCAATACATTCTGTATTAAAATACACAGGCTTATCGAGTTAATAGTAATAATAATCTCAAAATCCATTTTTGAGAACAGCCCCGGGTTTGACCTCTTATTTACCTTTTTTCCGAGACAAAATGTAGCATATCTTTTTTCTCAAGGTTTAATCTATATCTGTACCAAATTTCATCGCAATCGGATAAACGGTTGACTGTTTAGGAATGCATGAAGGACACATTCAGTCAGCCTCAAAAATTTGTTGTCTTTTATAATATATATAGATTATAATTTATAATTCAATTCACTATATAGGAAATTCAATTGATTTCAATTCGATGATCTTCAACATACTACCCCAAAAAACTGCAGAGTTACTCAGGTGATAGTGTACTGTATTATATAATATTATTACTACTTTAAACATTTAATAAACCTTTGTATAGGTTGCTATATTGTCTTAAATTGTGTTAATTTATGAACGCAGGTCATACGCTTCAAGGACCAGTAAAATATGATTTAGAAAACTTTATTTATATCAGTCCAACAACCAGGTTCTCAAGACCAGCTCCCGTATCTAATGGAAATATATAACCAACTATTCCTCAAATGGATAGGATTAGGTATAATTGTATAAATATTAAATACCGACGGCCACTTGGTTCGAAAGAACGGAGAAGGTGTGTTTCACTGGTTATCCATATCATTATATTTCGTAATACCAACTTATTCATAAACTGTTTGAACATTTTTAACTACCTATATTTTATCGGTAAGCAATATTCAATTTTGAATAGGAACACCTTCCGAGTTTCAATAATCACTTACCTACTTATATAGGTACTATGAAGGTACTAACCAAAATACAAATCTGAAAGAAAAATTAATGTTAATAAAAATTTAATTTTTAACTAAATATATCGAAATGTTTCCAAGGAAAATAATGGATTAAGAAATCCTGCAGAGATTATTCTGATACGCTAATAAAATAAAATAAAAACTAAATTCATTGATAAAATGGATCAAAATGTTTCTACGGAAAATCTGAATCAAAATTTACCCGGTGATTATCTGTTACGTAATAGTACATATTATTATTATAGGTGATATGTAGCCATAGGGGCACCGGTCAACTACATTAATTGTTTAATAATAAGTATAATAGGTATAATAATTAATAATATCTAAAAATTAATAAAAATTAATCAAATAATGTGGAATGTTGAGGAAAAGTATATAAAATCCACAGCATTTTATAGAAATTACACTTGTCATAATTATTTGGTGTGTATTAATTGACTAACATCGGTTGGTGATTGTTGTAGACTTGTAGTGGATACTGCACAATGACAGTACACTTTATAAAATATTATTAAGGGGTTACTATCATAACTTAAGTTATTAGTTCACCAATAATTAATTATAATCAACAAAGTTAATTGTATTTATTTATATACGTATTTACTAGCTAACCCGGCAATGCTTTGCTATATTTGCTAGGGTGCATTATATATTTATATAGTTTAATTACCCGGCGTTGCCCGGAAAATTTGTGATTGTTCAACTACTTCTGTTGAACGTAAGTGCGTAACACGCTGTGGAAGCAATGTCTTTTGAAGTGTAAATTATATTATACATATTTTAATTTATAGCCTACCGGCGTCGTCCGTGCGATTCACTTGTGATTATATGCGAGCAGTATATTAACAGGTAGGCTGTAGGCAATCTACCTGCGATAGATCGCGGACTCCATGTGCTGCGCGTACGTAAGTGTATAATTTAACTCTAAAGTTTCAAAAAATGCAAACAATTGGTCCACCGAAACCGTGGTTCGAACTCAATACATTCTGTACTAAAAAACACAGGCTTATGGCATTAATAATAATCTAAAATGGGTGATCACCCGGGATTTTTAGCAACGAATCCTTGCCACACATACCAAACGTGTTTTTAACCGTTCCTCCCCCTACTAACAACCTACAAACAAATAAAATAGCTAATGGCCTAAGTTGCCGGTCTCAAGCTCAATAAAAAAAAAAAAATCTAGGTTAACTATAAAGCACAAAATTTGTTTCTACCTATGTCCTTTATTGGATATTATCCAAATTGTTTACGAATGCATAAAGGACATAGGTAGAAACCATTTTTGTGTTTTATATATACTTACCTATAGATTACTAATTAATATTTACTAAATCATTCAATTTATATTTTAGACTCTTCTTGTAACTTTTATATTTTCAACAAACAAAATGTTGTTGTTTTCAATTGAAATAAATTGAATTCATTATATATTTATTTAAAAAGTCTAAAGCCTGAAAGTAACATAACAAAGAAACCGTTTGCATAATATATAATGAAAAATAATTACAAAACAAACAACCAAAAAAAAAAAAATACTCAATATTAAATAAAATTATATTGAAATGGTTTTTTATTATATTAAACAATACTTTGCTGTAATGGATATATATGGTACATAGTAGATGTGGGTTAAATTGCTATTCAGTGATAGGTACCACTTGGCACTTTGACATTTGCAAGTTATTTAAGTTTTATAAAAATTACGTAAGGTTGGACTTTTTTACAATAGATAGGTCATCAACCAGGTTTGCAAATATATATCCGTAATATAGAATATAATAATGTATACATAATATTTATTCTTAAACAGTGAAATACGTACTACCAAACTTGTTGATACTTGAAGTGCGTGTGGATGTGTGGATTAATCCTAATTGATACCTATAAAAAATTTTTAAGAGTACCTAATGTATTATCGCTTGTTGGCCTTATGATTATTTCAGCGATCTGTAAAAATTAAAATTTTAACATGAAAAACTAATTTATATAATACAAACTGTACAATTAATTAAACCGAACATATTCTGCAGAAACATGTTTTGTAGAACATTTTAGTGTACAAAAAACTTAGTACACGAATATTATTATGGAGCCATAAATTATCGGTGGTAGGTACTCAATGGCTATACTTTATAACCTCATATAAAAGTACACGGAAATAACATTTCCAATAACTTTATTAGTTTATTGTGTAGAAAAATGATAATGAAAAATATAGTATTATTAAATTTGTACTTATTCAACTTACGTTCACACTCTGCGGTGCACTCAACGCGTACATAATAGCTTCAGCAATGTCAATCGATTTCAACATCCTCACTCCTTCCAATTTATCGAACCCAAACTCTACAGCCATTTCAGTTTCCACTGCAGCCGGACTGATGCTCTGAAATTAAAAAGAGATATTTTTAACAAAAATATATATATTAAAAAAATTATTCGTGGAATGGTAATTTTAGATTCTGAGTGGATCGATGAATGTATTGATTTTACAATGATGTGTTTTGTTTGTGTAATTGTGTCCATCATTATCTGTTAACCTTTTGGTAAAAGCACTAGTAGAAGTGTTTCGATTTAAGTATATTTAGTGTTAGTATTTACAAAAGTAAAATTTTCAAGAGTTTTCAAAAGCTTAGGAAAAAACAAAAAAAAATATAAATGAAAAACGGGAACTTTTAAGCAAAACCAGTTTTTGACATGATAATAGGGGTATAGGTATCGATATATAGGCATATACCTATACCTAAACGGCTAAATCTAAAAACAAATGAATTACCGTGACTCTGATGGGTAAATTTTTCATGCCCAACAATTCTCTTAAATTTTCTGTGATTGAAGTAACACATAGTTTGGTAGCGCTATAAATTGAAAGATCCTTCATATATGGAAATTGGTAATGACCTACAACACTATAAAATAAGTCAGTATTATGTTACGTTAATAATACAATTGTTAGAAGCGTAGGTATAAATTACAAATTATACCATGATCTAAATAAATAAACATTTAAAAAAAAAATCTACTTATCATTATAAATATTTATCTTTTAAATTGATAATACAATTGTAACAAAAATCGTTACAAAATGGTATACTATTTTTGATTATCACACAATGTTATTACATTTAAATTGTTACCTGTTAATATTTATTATATGGCCTTCATTGATTTTTAATTCTTCCATGATTTTTACTGCCTCTCTAGTGCAAATGTTTAGACCTATGACGTTTGTGTCAAACATTTTTTTCCAATCATTTGTGTTTCCTGTAAGTATAAAAATTAAAAGTTGCCCAAAGATTTTAATAACATGAAAATTATTAAGATTTTGTTGATATTGATTAGTGATTACACGTATATGATTCTTTTCAACATATTTTATTTAAATATTAGGTACTTATAAGTTATAACTAAATTTAAAAATTATTTTGAATTACAATTATAGTTAATATTTACTCAACTGCTTTAAAATGGTACCTAATGGAAATCGTGGTTTGTTATTAAAGTAATAATAATTCATGTATAGGTACAAATTGTATTATTTTTATTATTGTTTAATACATATTTACAACAATATGAGTGATAATTGACAAATGTCTGAAGTTAAGATGTGTGCTGGTTAGAATAATTACAAATTACAATAGATTTTCTATTGAACTAAATACTTGATAATTTATTACTTAGATATTCTTGTTTGTAACCCTCCTGTATAGAAATATAGATTATTTTTATAAATGTGAACAATTTTGTATATACCTTATGTTGGTATTTCCCTTTAATTTGACGCAAGAATGTATAAAGATTTGATTTATGATCAGATTTAATGTTCCGAATGTTATTTAAGCCCCGGCTGGTTTAATACCTTATTATATTTTGATTATTAAATAGATAAGTTATAAGTATTTTAAAGTTAACAAAAAATTACGAATTTTAAATACTCATTAGGTACTTACTACTTGCTTTAAAGTTAAAATATCAAAAACGAGTTAATACGCAGGGCCAATAAAAATGTATTTACCTATAATTGGTAAAATTAGTACTAAAATATTAAAAATAACATAGTAAAACTGATTATCATGAACGTAAAATGTACACACAAATACACAATATACATAATATATTTCATAAGTTCGTTTCAGAAACAAAAAAATTAAAAACTATTAAGTCAATTTGTCAAAGATGTTAGGTAACGAATTCCTATATTCATAGATGAAAAAGATATACCCGCTGAAGAACATCTGGTACTGTAAGAGCAAATGTCTCTTATTCAATGAAGAGTAAGTGTCCAGTGTTAGGTAAATTGAAAAAGGTCTATACCAACACCTCCCCTTTACTCTTTTCTTATGTAATCAGTATTCTAATCCAATGACAATCAAAAAAGGTATGATCTGTATAATATGTAGGTACTTAGTCAATATTAATAACTCCTTAGGTATATACTCTAATATATTTGTAATAATAGTATTATTCATGTTGTGATCACAGTATTTCTACTTTAAAAATTATTTCATTAGGTAGGTACCTACCTAGGTACATCATAAAAAATGATATATTTTACACTTTTACAGTTGAATTAATAATAATGAAATACCTAGTTACAGTGAGTATCATTCTCAATATATTTTATAAATTGTATTTCATATTATTTTACATATATTGTAACATATGGAGTTAATTATTGTTATATACTTTAATTTTCGAAATTACCTAACAACTAAAAATTAATAAATTAATTCAATTTACCTAATAAATCACTTTGCTTCCAAACACCTGCATTGTTAACTAGCACGTCAACCGATTTAAATGTTTTCTTTACCCAATTAAAAGCTTCCAAAATGTTTTCTTCTGAACACAAATCAACTTTAACGTAATAAAATGTACCGAGTTTTCCTTTTAATTCCTTTTCTAATTCCTGAAAAAAATAAATTGCGTCAGATGCAACACTCTGCTATATTAAGTACGAGTATCACTTGTCATTGTTAATGTGTACAAGGGAAATATTATATTTTTATTCAATAATAAATCATTGTATACGAATTACGAAATATCAATAATACAATTTATATTTTATAATTTTATATTGTTATTAGAAAAGTTTTTTTCCTGTAAGTAAGTATCTACCTACCTATAATAATATGGTTAGGATGATCTCATATTTATAAAAATAAAATTACATAAAGGATATAATAATAATAATATTATTATTCTACATAGTAATATACTAGCCATCGGGTATAACTGTATAAAAAGTGCATTAAAACGTAGGTAGGGATTGTAGAATGGAGTGAATAGGTTTGTGGTAAAAATAGTTTAAATTCGATCTATAAATAATTAATAATTATATATAATAATAATTATTAGATATGCCTTGTAAATAATAATATACTCCATAGCGACAAGTCTCTACAGTCTACAGTCTACATATAACTTTTTAAAATAAAAATTCAAACAAAATAACTTAAATTGTTATTTCTCTGTTAATCACCCAATTTCACCATAATTTAAATTTTAAATTTCCAGAAAATTATTTTTCACATGTTTATGTTTCTGTAAGGAAAATAACAAGGAATCTAGTTTCTAACTTGAGGAATCAATCTTCCAAGCTTTTACATATTATGCCATTATGGCATATTGTACTAAATTGTCAAGCTTTTTAAAGAGTTTAACTTTTTTTCCATATAAATTCCATATTAATATATTTTATGTCTATCAATAGCTTAATTGGTTAAAATATTATGAAAATTTAAAATTAGGAAATGAAAAATTAAGTCAAAGTGGAAAGTCACAAACTCACAAATATTTAAAATAAATATTTTTTGAATAATAACAAAATAACAAAACATTTTTGAGTAGGTAGGTACTTTAAATTTTTATAAGCGTTTGAAATTCAAATTTTTACAACATTGGAAATTCACTCGATCTCTCATGTAGCGATTTCCTTATTTTGTTGTAATTCAAAAACGAATAACTGTAGATACATGAACATTTCACTGAATGTTTATATTAGCATTTCCTATACACGATATAATTTTG